AAACACGCAACCACAGGCTAAGGGGCAACCACAGTCCTCCCCCACCTGCACGCTCGCACTAATCCGGATCCAATTAATTATTTAATTAATTAATTTGTTAATGAAATTTTTTAAAAATTTAATTTCCACTTAATTAATTAATTAATTAATAAAAAATTTCACATTGAGAGAATTCAGCTGTCTTGGCGGAGGTCTGTGCTCTCCGAGTGCTCTAGTTTTTTATATACTACACTGCGTACGACGTCGTACGTACGCGCGTACACATTGTATCAGGAGTGTATAATATTACTCGCTCGAAACAATGTTACATAATCAACTATAATACGCACCCATGATTGTATTACACTGTGCGTGTGCGTTATTGTAGATATGATGTCGATCTAGCAGCAGCAGCTATCGATGGCGAGGACGATAACGTAGCTATTCGTGGCGTACAACGATTCTTTTAAGATGTGAAATTAGATCACATTCGTCATTATTCTCTCATCGATCGGTATGCGGTACCCAGCGAAAGCACATTTCGTCGACAACTAAGGGCGCAGATATGAGAGTAAACATGCGTGGAATGGTATTGAGAGTTTCTACGACGAAAAAGCTTCTGAAAACGCTGCCTATTGCATACCGGGGTTCATACGTTATAACTGAAGTTGGACCAATTTTCCAACCAATTATTGCCGTGCTATGTACTACGGTCGTGTGCTAGCTATTGTAAGACGGCGTGCGTGTACGCGCATAGGATCAAGAGTACATAATAGAGAATGTATCTCTATTATGTACTCTTGATAGGATGTGGCACGATCGGTTCTAAGCTCCGGTATTCACTCTCACTCTCACACGGCCGTTCGCATCGCCTAATCAAGCCACTATTCGCTTTGCGATCGTCTAAAAAGTTATCTATATTAGCAGGGCTTCGCCCGAACGAAACTAATAACATCTGCGAGGAATCTCTGGAAAGGAAAAGCGTTTGCACACGAATTTAGAATGCCGAAATCACGCAATTTACAGAGCGGAAACGCGTCGATACAACCATGTTTGATTAGATACCTTAGTCTAACTGTGCCCTAGCCCGACCATGCTACGAGACTAACGTCAACACACACACAGACACACAGACACACACAGACACACACACACACACACACACACACACACACACACACACGGAATAATGATGGATCATAAGGTACTAGGGGGTGTCGCTAAGGGGTAATGGTGTATAGCCGTTAGGCTAAGATAAATATACTAAAGGGCGTAGTCCTGGCATGTATAACTGCTGTAGGGTAATTGAACATTCGAGCGCGCAGCCGCATTACGGCGTGCGTACGAGGTAGAGTAGACATAATGAGGTAGGCATTAAAGCGTAGGGGTGAGGGTAGGCAACTCTTTAGGCTTGGTTCGGCATTAGATAGATAGGATAGGAATAAATGGGTGGTAGGTAGGCCTAGGTAGGCTAGGAAGGTTAGTAAGGTAGGTAGGTAGGTAGGTAGGTAGGTAGGTAAGGTAGGTAGGTAGATAGGTAGTGAGGTAGAGTAGGTAGTAGGTAGGTAGGTTAGGTAAGTTAGGTAGTAGGAATAGGGTGTAGGTAGGGTAGGTACGTATGTATAGCCTATGTATGATATTGTAAGTAGGTAGGTAGGTTAGCGTAGGTTAAGGGTAGGCTAGGTTTAGGTAGGTAAGGTGGTAGGTCAATAGTAGGTAGGTAGGTAGTAAGTGTAGCGTAGGTAGGTAGGTAGGTAGGTAGGTAGGTAGGTAGGTAGTAGGCTAGCTAGGCTAGGTAGCGTTAGGTAAGGGTAGGTAGGATAAGGTAGGATAGGATAGGTAGGTTAGGTAGGTAGGTAGGTAAGGTAGGTAGGGTAGGGTATGGTAGGCTAAGGCTAAGTTAGGGTAAGGGTATGTAGGGTAGGTAGGTAGGCTAGAGGTAGGGTAGCGTAAGGCTATAGGTTAGTAGGTAGTAGGCTAGGTTAAGGCTATAGGTCGGTAGGTAGGTAGGTCACACACAACACCACCAGCGTAGGTAGGTTAGTAGGGTAGGTAGTAGGTAGGCTAGGTAGGTAGGTACGGCGTAGGTAGGCTAGGTAGTAGGTAGGTCGATAGGGCTAGGTAGCGTAGGTAGGTAGGTAGGTAGGTGAGGTTTAGGTAGGTAGGGTAGTAGGTAGGGTAGGGGTAGGTAAGGTAAGGTAGAATAGATAGATATGGTAGGTATAGCGGTTTGGTAGGTAGCGTAGGGTAGTAGGTAGGTAGGTAGTAGTAGGTAGGTATAGGCAGGTAGTATGGTAGGTAGGGTAGGCGGTAGGTAGTATGGGTAAGGTAGGTTAGCGTAGGTAGGGTAGAGGTAGGTAGGTAGGTAGGTAGGTTAGGTTAGTAGTAGGTAAGGTAGGTAGGTAGGGGTAGAGTTAGATAGGTGAGGTATAAGGTTGGTAGGTAGTAGCTAGGTAGGCTAGGTAGGTTAGGTAGGATAGGTAGTAGGCTAGGTCAGGTAGGCTAGGTAGGTAGGTAGGTAGGAATAGGATAGGTAGGTAGGGTAGGTCTAGGTCGTAGGTAGGTGTAGGTAGGTACGTAGGTAGGGTAGGATAGGTAGGTGAGGTAGGTAGGCATAGGTATGTAATGTATTGATGCCTATGTTAGGTAGGTAGGTAGGTAGGGTAGGTAGGTAGGTAGGATAAGGTAGGTAGGATAGGTAGGATAGTAAGTAGGTAGGTAGGTAGCTAGGTAGGTAGTAAGGTAGTGGGTAGGTAGTAGGCGTTAGTAGGGTAGGTAGCTAGGTAGGTAGTTAGGTAGGTAGGCTTAGGTAGGTTAGGTAGGCCTAAGGCTAGGCTAGGTAGGTAGGTAGGTAGGCCTAGGGTAGGTTAGCTAGGTAAGTAGGTAGGATAGGTAGGGGTGTAGTAGGCGATAGGGAGGTAGGTAGGTAGGTTTAGGTAGGTAGTTAGTGTAGGTAGGCTAGGTAGGTTAGGTGTAGGTAGGAGGCTAGGTAGGTAGGCTTAGGTAGGTAGCGTAGGCGTAGCTAGGCTAGGCTAGGCAGGTAAGGTAGGTTAGGGTAGGTAGGCTAGGTAGGGTAGGTATGGGTAGGGTCGAAGGGCGACGTAGGTTTAAAGGTAGGTAGGTACGGCTAGGTAGGTAGGAGGTCGGTAGGAGGTAGGTAGAGGTAGGGTAGAGTAGGCCATAAGGTAGGTAGGTAGGTAGGTATGGTAGGTTAGGCTAGGTAGGCCTAGGTAGTAGGTGGTCAGGGAGGTAGCTAGGGTAAGAAAAAAGGGTAGGTAAGGTAGCGCTTAGTAGTAGGCGTAGGAGGTAGGTACGCTAGGTAGGTAAGTAGGTAGGTATAGGTAGTAGGTAGGTAGGGCTCCGTAGCGTGTAGGCTAGGGTAGGTCTAGGTAGTAGGCGCGCCTAGGTAGGTAGGTAGGGTAGGCTGGGGTAGGCTAGGCTAGGTAGGTAGGGTAGGAGGTAGGCCTATGGTAGGGTTAGTAGGGTAGGGCTAGCTAGGGGTAGTAGGTAAGGTAGGATAGGTATGTAGGTAGGTAGGTAGGTAGCGGGCGTAGGTAGGTAGGGTAGGTAGGTAGGTTTACGGTAGGGTAGGGAGGTGAGTTAGGTAGGCATAGTAGGGTAGGTAGGGTAGAATTCGGTAGGTAAGGGGTAGGTAGTAAGGCTAGTAGTATAAGGTAGGTGTAGTTAGGTAGGTAGCTAGGTAGGCTAGGTAGGTAAGGCTACAGGAGGCTAGGTAGGTAGGTGTAGGTAAGGCTAGGCTAGGGTACGGGTAGGTAGGGCCTAGGTAGGTAAGGTAGTAAGTAGGTAGGCATAGTAGGTAGGGTAAGGGTAGGTAGGTAGGTAGCTAGGTAGGTAGGTAAGTAGGGTAGTAGGTAGGTAGGTAGGTAGGTAAGGTAAGGTAAGGTAGGGTAGGTTAGGTAGGTAGTAGGTAGGTAGCTAGTAGGTAGGGTAGGTAGTTAGGTAGGTAGGCGCTACGGTAGGTAGGATAGGTAGGCTAGGTAAAGGATAGCGTAGGTAGGTAGGTAGGTAGGTAGGCTAGTAGTAGTAGGTAAGAAGGGCCGTAGGCTAGGTAGGTAAGGTAGGCCTAGGTAGGCGTAGGTGGTATGGTAGGTAGTTAGTAGCTAGGTAGGTAGGTGAGGTTAGGTAGGTAGTAGTGGTAGTAGGGTAGGTAGGCTAGGCGTAGGTAAGGTAGTGAGGTAGGGTAGGGTAGGTAGGGTCAGTAGTAGGTGTAGGTAGGTAGGCTAGTAGGTAGTTAGCTAGCGTAGTAGCTAAGTAGGCTAGGTAGCGCTAGTGGATAGGGTAAGGTAGGTTAGCGTAGTAGGTAGTAGGTATAGGGGCTAGTAGGTAGGTAGGGTAGGTAGCTAAGGGTAGGCTAGGTGTAGGTAGGTAGGTAGGCATAGGTAGGGTAGGCCGTAGGTTAGGTGGAGTAGGTAGTAGGTAGGTAGCTAGCTAGGCTAGTAGGTAGTAGGCGTTAGGTAGTTAGGTAGGTAGGCTAGGGTAGGCGGTAGGTAGGTAGGCTTAGGATAGGTCTCAGGATAGGTCTAGGGTAGGTAGGTAGGTAGGGTAAGTAGGTAGGTAGTAGTAGGTAGGTATGGTAGAGCTAGCGTAGGGTAGGTAGGTAGTAGGTAGGTAGGTAGGTAGTAGGTAGGTTAGGTAGGTAGGTAGTAGGTAGGTAGTGTAGGTTAGGTAGGGTAGGCAGTAGGTAGGTAGTGGTAAGGCGGTAGGTAGGTAGGTAGGTAGAGTAGGTAGGTAGGTAGGTCTAGGTTAGTATGGTAGGTATGCTAGGT